GAACCTGTCAATACATAAGTTATATTTATATATATTGATCTTGTAATGAGTTCAAGTTGCAAATCAATTTACGTACTGACCGACTATTTATATATATGCATATATAGGTAATAGCGATATGGACCATATGGTACATACCCTTCCACAAAGCCTGACTCTCTCGTCCTTCAGCGCCCTCTCCAAATTTTCAAAGAAGAGAGATCAATAAATATCACACGGCAAAGGACAAAAGTAATCAGACAAAATCAAACTGTAATTATTCAGACCTTGGCTTTTAGTTTCTCTATTTCATCTCCGTATAGCGTAGCCTATCAATAAACAAACATAAGTTTGAAAAGACATGTAATTGATCACAAAAATTTCACAAATTCATTGTTTCTCTTACCTTTCTTGATCTAACAATATGAAGACTTTTCTCTCTCTGCGTGGCTATGTCCTGAAGTTCTTTTACCGAACAAGAAGCCAAGCTTTGCCCCATCAACTTCCTATCAAATCACATTTTCGTAATCAACACAGTTCCATTAATTTAAGAACCATTTGAAAATAAATTCCGTTAATAAACAATGTAAAAAAGATATATGGCAACAGAGAGACAAACCGGTTATGCACTTCAAGCATTTCAATCTTTTCCACCATTATCACCATTTCCTTCTTTAGTCTCTATAAGCCCAAAGTGGTTGTACCAAGTGTCACAATAAATCAAATGAAATGTGACTGATATATTTTTAACTTGAGTTTGACATAATACCAAAGGTTAATATTGTACGTAATGAAACGAAAATTTAGTGAGTGGAGGTATACGAAAAGAAACCTGCACGTATTTCTCAGTGGGATGACTTTCTGCAACGACATACTCTCTCTTATAGTCGGCATATCGCTTGATCGTCTTCTGGATACTAAGAAAATTCTCAAGAATCAGGACATTAACGGTTTCATTACTTAATTTGTGAGTTTTAGTTGGAAAAGTATTTGAAATACCCTGTCCTATTGCACATGTCTTTTATCTTTGTTGAGAAAATTAGACTTTTGTTGGGAATCATCATATATATATGTCATACAAGCGATTCTCAACCGCTTACTATGCATACATAATGAGTCATCCGACCTTAACGAATTAGACCAGTGGAAGAATTAAATATCGAATTTGGACTCAGAAACAAATAACACACTAGAAAAATCATATAGACAAATTTATAAATTTGGGAAAAACACTTGATGTCTTTTTTTACAACACTTTGGATTCCTATTAGTTTTCACTTCGAGTTCCAACGCAGATAAAGGGCTCAATATTAAAAAAAAAAATCATACTTATAAAAACCCTAACTAATTAATTCGTAAGATAACCCTCATGTTGAACTTGAACTATATATAGAAAAGAACCATAGTTAAAACAAGAAAATAGTTCTTTACCTTAAAAAACCTATGTTAGAAATAGAAGAAAATGAAATATGAAATTGAAAGTATTGTTTGGGAAAATTTAACTACTGCAACAAGCTATAGTAGAAAAAAAAAAGCAAAATCTTTTACCTGTCTATTAAGAAATCTCTAGTACTATTTGATCAGAGAGTTGTTCAACTACACTAGTACTACTTACTGATAGGAAATTTAACACAAGAAATATTTTGAAAGAGTATAAAGATTGGAGTAACTAATCAATCTGAAATTAAGAATCTTACTTGGAGCTGGCGAAATCATAATCTTCCCTTCTGAGAGAAGATTACAGCTGCGACTTGAGCATCACAGAGAACAGAAAGCTCATGAGCCTTCTTAAAGAGACCTTTCCTTAGCTTAGAGAACGTGACTTGTCTGCTTGTAGTGTTCTCGATCTTTTTGATCTGGATCTTTCCTCTCACCATTTCAATTTGTTCTCACAAAATCTAATCCCACGAACGTGATCTGTTAAGGGAAAATGAAATCAGACAAAAGAAGAATAAATGGAAAATCAGACAAAAGAAGAATAAATGGAAAATGAAATCTTGAAACAATTAGCAAGAAACTAAGAAAGCTTCCTGTTTAACTCTCCTGGGCTATCAGCGGAGTAGCAACCCTAACTTTACTTTAAGAGTAGAAAGAATCTTCCTTCTTTTATTGGGTGACTTTCTTTCGGATTAGCCCACGTAAGCGGCAAGAAGGGCAAAAGTTAACAAAGAGGAACACTCTGGCTATTCTAATTAAAAAAGAGTGATTTAGTGAACTACCCATATTTGAAGCTCAAATTAGCAAAATACCATTGATTGGACATGAAGGATACTGACACAATCATTTGGCAAGGAAATGTCGAGAATGCCCTTTCTCTTTCCTCTCATTAACATGAAACGTAAAAACCTTTGTTAACATATAACACTTCTGTTAACGTCTACAATATTTGTTAATAGCCAACACATTTATTACCGTGAAGCGTAAAAATAATTGTTAACACTTAACACTTCTGTTAACGTCTACAATATTGTTAACAGCGAACACATTTATTAACGCGAAACGTAAAAATAATTGTTAACACCTAACACTTCTGTTAACGTCTACAATATTTGTTAACCGCTAACACGACGTCGAATCTAAAACCCAGAAAATTGATATCATCAAAAAATTGAGGATTCAAAGCCACTTATGAAAAAAATAATGAAATTTAAAATTTAATTGTATATAGAATGATAGAGATTTGTAAAATAATTAGGGATTTGAGAGAAAAAAAAAGGGGTCAAATTTGAGGATTCAAAGCCACTTATGAAAAAATAATGAAATTTAAAATTTAATTGTATATAGAATGATAGAGATTTGTAAAATAATTAGGGATTGAAGAGAAAAAAAAAAAAGAGGGGAGATGTCAAAGAGAGGAGAGTGAGTGTAGAGAAGGGCAAAATGGTCCAAAGGAAAGTGATTGTCACATCATGGACAATTCTCTAATTATAAGTGTCAAATAGGGCACTTTAGCCAATTATCTCATTAAAAAATCAACTTTTCTATAAACCGCGACTGATAAACCGGTCTTAACATGGGTCAGGTTTTTATGGTTTTTTTCTTCTTTGAATATGTAAAAAATGCTTGTCACAAGGTAAGAACTATAATTTAAATACTTTTTTTTCATTGAATATGTTAATATCTAAGTTCTTAAGTTGTCACCGCAGAACGCTTTATTGCTTTTTTCTTTCAAATAAAAACATTTTTTTTCCTTTTTCCATTTACTTATATGGTAACTCTACACCTTACTCTAAAATCAGTTGAATATTACAATTAAACAATGTAGTAATCTCTTTTTGAAATGGAAGTTGATGAACCATGAAATATTGTATGTAACTAACCTTTAAATAGGTCATTCAAATTAAGATAAATTAAGAGTTTTCATGTGTCATTCACAGATATAATAATTTCTAAAATACTGTTATATTATTTTGAATAAAACTTGAATTTATATTTCAATATTATTATTTTATATTTAACTTCACCCATTTAAAAATAACCATAAATATAATTATAAGTAGTAGGGTTTCTGTCAGTTTAATTTAAATATTTTGATTAATTTTATTTACATATATTTGAAAAGTTGATAAATTATATTTACATTTTTGAAAAATAAAGATAATTTTTCTGTAATATATTGTATTATATTTAATGACTATTATTTAAGCATTTCTATTATTTAAATGTGTTTGTATTCAGTACATACAGTTTAATAAATTTAAAATTTTTGTTTCTTAGCCAAAATACGTTAAAATGGTTAAAACAATTTTGACTGACCTAATAACCGTTACATTTAACACAATTTCAGTCATCAAACTATCGAAAATTGATATATTAGTATATTTATATTTGTTTAGGTACAATTACAATTAGTTTTGATAAAGATTATATTATTGTATACATATACAAAATAAGATATGGAAGTTGATGTGGAAGTTAATTATATTTATAAAAGATTATGGTTCATCAACTTCCATTTCAAAGGTTATTTCATGAATTCCAAGAATATTTTTTAACATAATTATCAAAGATTTATATGAAAGTAAAAGTATATAGTTGCACAGTCTGAACGAGGACGCGATATAAATAATGTGACAAGAACACATAAAAGTAGAAATAAAACTAGATAACATAAAAATAGATCAAAAGATCAACATCATCAAAATACAAACAGAACATAGCTCCATTAAGACAATTTCAACAATCATATTAGAAAATTAGTTAACCGCAACAAGACTCAAGTAAAATAAAAATAAAAAGAAATCACGAAAATAATGGTTCACATAATACATAAAATATAACTTTTCTAAATAAAAACAAATACTGAACATAATACTTAATTAAGATAACTTTATATTGGTTAACCGTGGACTAACCCCTAGTACTTCATAAAGTCCACTCAAATACAGAAATAACCAACCAAAATTGACAGATTAGAAAACAATAAATTTTATTGACTTAGGTCTAGAGGAAAAACTTTGGTTGGAAAATTGTCTTTTGGTCTAATCTGCATTCGGATGAGTTCTAATTGGATGAATAATTAACTACGCTAAATTCAAAAGAGTCGATATTCTGTTTTTTTTTGCCAAAAAATGAAAAGGGAAAATGGACAGCGTCTTCGATTGGCCCGACAAATATTTAAGACTGAGATTTGTGTATCTGTCCTCCTGTCTGGTTGTGTGACTTGTGTCTACTTTAGCCTCTTGATAACTAAAAAGTTCGTATGTGTTTGAGCTAAGACGACGCCAAACTGATACATTATATTTGAGGGATATTTACGCTTAGTTTGTGGGCCGAACATTATTTCCAGCCAATGAACATGGGTTACTATCTCAAATTCTCAATGGCTCCCAATCTGCATAGAAACAAAATGTCACATTAATCTCAAAAGACTAAAGTGACAACCTATACATGTCAAATTATTTCCAGTTTATACACAAGAGATGGTCATAGCGCCCAGAAGGTTATCAGCTAATTATTAGTATACAAACATTGAATCAAGTTATATAGAACAAGTAAACTTAAGGAGCGTGTGAAATATGTTATAGTCGAGCCACTGGTAATCCAATGAATAGATCGGTTTCGACCTCTGATGAATGTTTGGTCCTGCAGTAACCACCTTCGGGTTCACCATTCTCGGTTGGTAAGGTTACTACTGGCAGCTCTGGTCGTAGCAACCTTTCTCTGATTTCCTGAAACATAGTATTTTTCATAACATGTATGAATTATGACATGAAAAGAGGAAAATACATATATGTAGAGGGTCATATGGATTACATCAGGTTTCAATTTTTAACGGTAATATGTTCTTGTTTCCGTTTACATGAAAAAAAAACAATTCTATAGTTGTTTCTAAAACCTAACTATTTTTTTTTAATTTGAAATATGCAAACTTAAATGTCTAACACAATGAAGGATTTTCCTTCCGTTTGCATTTAGCGTTAATGTTTACAACTAAGTCGATTAACGATGAATTTAGAAGCAAACCCAAATAAAACATCAATCAATGCCTGAAATTATACGTATAAGTTCCATATATGTGTGTGTTTACGTGTATCTTGTGATATGTGTATACGTATTTACCTTTTCACGGAGCCTTCTTCCCTCGTCCAAGAGTTCTCTCTCCTAGAATCAGAAAATAAAGAAAGGCCAAAAAAGTACTTGTAATATACAAACGATCCCCAAAAATTGAAATCTCCGTATAACTTGCCAAGTGAAAAAATGTTTTAGAAAGATAAAAAACTTGCTACGTGAAAATTTTACCTTTTCTTTTAGCTTTCCTAATTGATTTGCATATAACTCAGCCTACGTACCAAAATCAACCAATGAAGGCATTATCACGATAGGTGTGAGTGTCTGTGTTTTGGTTGAAATTGTACCTTTCTTGATCTGACAATACGAAGGCTTTTCTCAATCTGAGTATCTATCTCTTGAAGTTCTGCCACTGAACACGAACCCAAGCCTTGCCCCAATAGCTTCCTTCAAATATAATGCCATTCACAATAGATTTTAGGCTTGAAACAAAGTATGTTTATATATAATGCTTAAAGAAATAGGGGGTTATGAACCGTTGTTGAACTTCAAGGAGATCAATCTTTTTCACCATTATATCCATTTCCTTCTTCAGCTCCTGCCCACCCAAAAAATGCGGAGTACTTTAGTATATATCAACTTTGTTTAGTTAAATATGTTTACAGAATCAAGAATAGGTCTACACATATATAGAAAAATGAACCTGCAAGTATAGTTCTACTTGGAGCCTCCCTGGCATAATATACTCATTGCTAAACTTGCCATATCTTTCAATCGTCTTCTCCATCCTGAAAAGGTTCACAAGTGATGGTTTCTTAATAGTGATGAAGATGCTTCCTTTATCGATAAGTGATGATGATCACATCATGAGATGAATTATTATGGACATAACTGCTATGCTAGATGAATAGTATACTAGTTAAATAGCTGAACCGAAACGTAGCAAAATTGATAAAATGAGAAAATTCTTAAGAAACTGAATGAACCTAAAAATGAGTGTGATACAAATGAAAAATACTAACGCAAACGAAACAAACTCGATTTAATAAACGACTGAAGTATTGTCTAAAAAATTATTATGGGTTTGACGGCCAGCTGAACAGAAAACCAGTGGAATAGTGGAATGATCAAATATCGGCAAATATTGAACAATGTACGGTTTTCACAAACATAATCATAAGAAGTTGAAAACTAAGTTAGTGTTAATGGCGTTTCCTAGTGCAGTTAAATTTTAATAAACCTGTAATACAACTGGAAACGTCAAAAACTGATGGATGTCTTAAACTGCAAATGATTGAAGAATTCCTTTTAAACCATGAAAATGTGAAAATAGTGTACCGTTTATATATATTCATATAGTATACTATATGTGCAAAAAGAACAAAAAATTACCTGTTATTTCCATTTTATTAATTATTTCATAGAATATATTGTGAATTGTATGGAATCACGTTTGGAGAAACCTGAATGTGTGATTTTCTCAAAATAATATACAAATACATTATTATACGGATTACCATGATTATCATCTAAGTTTATGTTTTTTTACTGAGCTTATAAACAATTTATAAAGCACGGAACGCATATTAAAACAAGGGAAATTATAACTCGGACATGTAAGCCAGCAAAAAAAGGAATATATACTCATGAAAATACATAGAAAGGTTTGGATACACCCAGAGAATTTTGTAATCTTTTCTATGCCAAGTGGGTATGTGTTTAAGTTCCAAGGTGTACGAGGTTCACTGATCAAGAAACCTCTTTTCTGAAAACCCTAATCCACTTGCTCGTGCTTAAACAGACCTTTAGTTAATCTTTCAAAGTTGACAGTTAATTGGTATCCTTAAGTTGTAGCTCATTAAATAAAATCCAGAAGTATGAAAACAGGAATCATATAGAACTAAAATGTGAGAAAAGTATATTTCTGGGAATATTCAGAAAATTGGTAGCAAAAGAAAGGCAGTATTGGAAAATCTCTATGTACGATTTGGACAGAAAGATAAAGAACTATTCACTACAGAAGTTCTAGGCAGTCAATCATTTATGTACAGAAAGATTTGGAATTAGACATGTAAAATCTGAAAATAATTAGACTAAAGTATCTTACTCGGAGCTAGAGAATTCATATAATCTTCCGTTCTGAGAGAAGACAATGGCGGCGACTTGAGCATCGCATAGAACTGAAAGCTCGTGAGCCTTCTTAAATAGACCACTTCTTCGCTTTGAGAACGTGACTTGTCTGCTTGTCACATTCTCGATTTTCTTGATCTCGATCTTTCCTCTCACCATTTTTCCTGCAATACTAATTTCAAGATCAGACTGATACTCTTACTAAAGCCAAGAAGGATATTTCTTTGAGACAAAACCAAGAAATGTTTTCTTTAAAGAACCATGAGATTCAAAATCAGAAGTCAAAGTGAGGAAAATACAGGAAACTGAGGAAATCCAAGACCAGATTTTTCCAGATTCCCATAAAAACACCAAAAAACATATTTTCCCTTAAATCAGTTTTTTTTTTCAGATTAAAATCAGCCGACAAATAACCTTTATAGATGAGGAATAATTAGCACAACTAATATAAAGAACATAAAATTGATGGAAAGTAAGAACCCAATAAAGAAAATTTTAGAAAGAGGCATGAGCTATAGATCTTATGTTGTTCTGTGTTTACCTCTGTGCCTTTGTACAGGACCACAAACCCTAAGTCTAAGCTTGCTTTTTCTTGACAGAGAAAAAAAGAAGAAAAGGAAGAGAAGAGATTTTATTTTCTTCTTTTGGTGATGCTAGTTGGATTAATAATTGATCAGAAATACAATAGAGAAAATAATGATTTTAAAAGGGAAAAGAGTGAGTCCTAGGTTTTGATTAAATAATTTGCCAAGACTTTATCTGTTTTTGGTAAATTTAAGAAGCGATAGCAAAAGGAAACATTTTTTTTTAATTTACTAGAGAAGCATTTTTATTACAATAAATTTAGAATATAACAGACTTACTAGGTGATTTTCCCGTGCTCATGCATGGGTATGTATATTATACAATAATAATTGATTGATATTTACTTTATTTTTAAATTAATTTATAATTTTTATGTCTAATTTATATTATAATATTATATTACTTTAATTATATATATAATTTTAGATATGTTATATTTAGTCTATTTTATTTTTTATGGTCGATTTAGTTATCATTTAGATATATTGGATTCTATCTATATCTTTGAATTCAACTATAATATTTTATATTTTAAATATATTAATTTTTTGATTAATTTTCTTATTTGCATTTATGCTGGTTTTTATCTTAGAAATATAAGTATATTTAGTAAGATTATATATAACTTAAGATTTTTTTTGTGCTTAGAAGGACAAAAAATAAAAACTAAAATGTCTGATTCTAAATTACATACATAAGTAACTAATAAATTTTTAGAAGCTTTTGAACACATATCAATATTTACAATAATTAAAATATTTTATAAATTCTAAACAAATTTATGCTTTAGATTGATTGGATGGTAAACTGAAATTTATTTTAAATGATTTTTAAAATAAGGATTCTGATTTGCTTAAGTATTTTGACTATGGTTATATTAAGTTTCACAAACATAAAAACAGAAAATTAAAATTTAAAAGATTTATTAAGAAAACATATAATTTTAACTATTAAAATATAATATATCTACCTCGTTAAATTGTATAATGTTTTAGTATTTTAAAATAATTGTAGTTATTTTCTGTTTTTATGTTTGTGAAATTTAATATAACCATAATTAAAATACTTAAGTAAATCAGAATCCTTATTCTTAAAACAAATAATTTTAACTATTAAAATATAATATATCTACCTCGTTATAGTGTTGTGATATTTTAAAATAATTGTAGTTACTTGATCAAAAGATTTTTATTATTAAATTTATTTTTAGTATCTCTTAAAATAGTCAATAAAAATGATTGTTTTTGAGAAATTATAATATATAAGTAAATAGAATTTATATTTTTACTGTAATTGTAAGATATTGTAGTCAAATAAATATACTAAAAATAATTTCAATAATACTAATTATAAAAATGTCAATTAAACATATATCAATTTATGTTAGATGATTATTTTATGTAATCATCTAATAAAATAGATAGATATATACAAAAATAATTATTTTGAAAATATATATATAAAGAAAAAATATTTCTTTTTCTAATAGCAATATTTTTTGTGTGATTTTTTTTTATAAAATCACATTATATACAGATATTGGTTTTTTATCTAAGAAGATATAGATATAAAGTATTTTATTACTTCAAAAGTATATTTTATGTTATTTAAAATATATTTAAATTAAATATTACTATTTTGTGAACTTTCTTTTTTTATTAAACCATATTATATATACTTATATTTTCGTTTTTAAATGTTTTGTAAATTTTATAAATGTTTCCGTTTTTTTATATTGTTATTTGGAAATTTTTAAAAAGAAAATAATATTTAATTGTATTTTTAATTCATAAGGGGTATCATAGTAATCAACCATCGTGAGAGTTAACGTAAACGCGACACCTAAGAAAGTGACTTCTCAAATAATATTATAGAGATAAGAACACTTTAATTGGGGACTCTCACAAACATTCCAAAATACAAGAAACTATATATATCTCAATAAGATAGTGTTTTAGATATCTCAAAACCATAAACTTATCTCAAAATACCTATAATAAGATTTTTGAAATAAAGCTTTATAGAAGATATTTCAAAAAATTATAATAAGATAGTTTGACTCCTAAGATTTGATTAAAGAAATTTCCATGATATCTGTTTTTGGTAAAGTTAAGAAGCGATAGCAAAAGAAACATTTTAGTTTACTAGAAATAAATGTTTTAAAATCAATTAGGGAAATATAAGAGACTAAGGGGGTGATTGGTTGAGATGTAACTCATGACTTTAATTCTATAACTATAAAAGTTATCAATCATGCTTTATATAATTTTTAAAGCTAAAATCAAAAAATTAAAAATAGCTGTAGCACCCTTGTTTTCTAAAACATTATTTTGTATGCTAAAGATAAAAAAAGTATTGATATAGGAATATCTTTCCATTTTATTTTTTTTGTATTGAATTCTTATAGTTATATTTGCTATAACTACATCACACATTTCTACAAACAAAAATTTATAGTAATTTGTTTTACAGCTACATCTTAATCAATCACCTCATACGAACATTTTTATTTGGGTTCTCACAAAAAAACTCAAAATACAGTAAATTATATATATAAAAAATAGTGTTTGGATATAAATCCATCTCTAATCCACCTCTATTTTTATCTTTATATTTTTCTCTAAAATAGATAATTTATATTATAGAAGTGAATTTGATCTAATGTATGTCTCTATAATAGAATTACTCTATTTATAGGTAAAATATAGAAATATGCTATTTTCACCTCTAAATATAGAGGTAAAAAGTAATATTTCTCTATACTTTTCTCCAAAATAGAAAAACTTTATTATAAAGGTATACATTAAAGCAAATTTACCTCTATAATAGAAATCTCTATAATATATTGGAGATGCTTATAAACCATAAATTTACCTCAAAATAATTCAAATAAGATATTTTGAAATAAAATTTAAATCCACAATAAAATTCAATTTATTATCTGTATGTATATAGTTGAAAGACTAAGACCAACATTATCGGAGGGTTTTGGTTTGGTTCTTAAGGGGATGGTACTCACAAAAACACCAAAACTGAGAGAAGTTGCTAAATAAGAGACGTTTTGGTTTGGTCCTTGTACTGTTCGCATGCCTCACTGATATATGACGCGATTGATTGATTTATTTTTTTAGTCGGACAAAAAAAGTAAAATAAAATAAGAACCTCTACTGATAATGTTGCTCAAAGGTTGACGAGACTCTTAAAAGCTGCTCCGAAGTCTTTTTTTGGGGTCAATGATCTATTTTCCCACGAGAACTATGATATAGCATCAGATCCCCAACAAACTATGACCTCGTGCTAAATATCCATGATTTAAAAATTCTAAACCTATTTCTAAATGAACTAACAATTTTGAATCTATTTCGGTCCGAACTGAACAAAGCCATCGCAACAATACGATGCAGGATTCCAGAATCAGCAAAAACATAATGATTTTTTTTGAAATTGTTTTTTTTTTAAATGAACTTTGGTTTAGTTTAGCCGGCTTAACATTATTTGGTTAATAATAACCAATTAAAACATGGCATGTGTATAATTAAGTTTGAAATTATCGGTTCGGAAAGAAATATATTCAAATTATTAATTCGGGGGGAAATAGGTTTAGAATTTTTAAATCATGGATATTTAATATGAAGTCATAGTTTGGTGGAGATCTGTTGTTATATCATAGTGGGGAAATATATCGTCCACCCTTTTTTTATGAACAACGCTGCTCTAAAGTCTAAACAATTAGATTATGAAAATAATTCCTTTTCGTGGGTGTAGAGTGGTGGGTGGAATAATAATAATCATACATCGACAAAGAATAGTGTTCTTCGATCGGCGTGTCCACATCATCGTACAATGAGGCTTACTGTTAACCATTTATATTACGACACGCATGCCTTTTCACTTTCCCCAAATCATAGTCAGTAATGCGACCTCGTCTTTCAAAGATTACGCAGATTCTTTTTACCTCTTTTACTCGGTTCTTTGCAATCTTTAGTAATATTCCTCTTTTTTGTTGAAAGAAAAACTATAGATTATGTGTCGAAACATTAAAAAAGAGGAATAAAGTAAATTGCAATGTCTCTAAAATCCAAATCCGTGATAAGGGAAGATGACGTCTTCTTTCTCCTTTTGATTTTTTTTTTTTTTTTGTCGTATGATCTCTATCAACATTGCTTCTCGTTCGTTCATTCATTCATTCATTCATTTAATTCATGAATTACTCTAGGAAAATCATTACTCATTCTTAATTATGTACTAGATCATGACTGCACACTCACGTGAATTTTGTTTTTTGGATGTATTTAATATAATTTAGTTTTATATAGTTTTGTTTTTGTCAAATTCTATTTTATATTTAAATAAAAATATCAATTTTTTTTTTTTTGGAATTAATAGTGTTCAGCAGTGAATTACGTAGATATAATCGTGCAATGAAAAAACTAATCACGTATATTTGTTCGAAATGCAAAATTAAAATTAACTTTAACTGTTTCCGTTTTGATGATTAGTTGAGAGTTTAGTTACTTCTGATTAGACCTAAGACTTAATATCCGCTATCCATTATCCGATTTGGGTACGTTCCG